GTAGGGAAATTGGCACCCTCATACATTGCTGGTAGAAATGTAAACTGTGCAGCCACTGTGGAAAACAGTTTGGCAGTTCCTCAAAAAGCTAAACATAGCATTACCATATAACCCAGATATTCCACACCTGGGTATATACACAAGCTCATTGAAAACAGGTATTCAAACAAATACTTCATAGCAGCACACCAATGTTCATAGCAGCACAATTCACAATAGCCAAAAGGTGGAAAACAAGACAAAAGTCCATCAAGTGACGAGTGGATGAACAAGTGTGGTATATTCGTAAAATGGAATATTACTTAGCCATGAAAAGAAATGAAGTACTGATACATGTAACACCATGAAGAATCTCAAAAACATTATGCTAAGTGAAAGAAGTCAGACACAAAAGGCCACATTATAATACAGTTCCACGTATATGAAACAGCCAAAGTTTTTGGTAAGTCCATAAAGACAGAAAGCAGATTCGTAGTTGCCGGGGGGTGGGAGTGGGGAAGGGGTGATGGAGAATGACTGCTTAATGAGTATGTGGTTTCCCTTTGGGGTGATGAAAATGTTCTTGAACTAGACAGAGATGGTGAGTGCAAACACTGCAAATATACTAAATGCCACTGAATGGTACACTTTTAAATGGTTAACTTTATGTGAATTTTACCTCAATTTAAAAAATACTTATTTAAAAGGAGCAGCCTCCCTTTTAAAACTATCACCTTATAATTTTCCAAAACTGCTTTTAAGAACTATAAATATATGGCATATATGTTGAATATATATCATAATGATGCTTTGTAAACACTTTACACTTTAGTAATGGCTTGCTTACTTTATGGCAGATGCATCAGATGTATTCTGAGTATCATCCATTAGTATCTAAGAGAATGCACACTATACTTAATTTTAAAATCAAATATAAGTTGTGAACACATAAGTTTATTAGAAAATGTTATAAAAATATGTTTAAAACTCAGAATTAATAAAGACTTTATAACGGTGTGATGATCAGGGAGAATACATGCAACCATATTTTAACCTCATGAATGAAGAGAAACTAAAAGAACTGTTGTCAGAGAAAAAAGAAAACACGAAAAGAAAGGCTGAAACTCAATGAAAAGAAGTAGCTGGGAGTGGAATGGAGAGGAAAGGAATTTCAGAGGTAAACTAATTCCACCCTCCCAGTAATTTGGGACTGAACTGGCTCAAGTTCTCCAAGATAACCTGCCCTCCCCCAAAGCCTCCTCTTTCTGCCCCCAAATAATTAACAAAAGACTACTTGACTACAAAAAAACCTCAGTATTTGCTAAATTTTCTAATGGGTGATTTTCTAAGAAAAAGTATATTGTTCTTTTTGTTCTTGTAATTTACCTTTTTGCCACCAGAGGAGATTTTATCCATTTTTTCAGATTTAAATGAGTCACCGCCTTTTTCTTTGCCTGACGATTTTGACTTATTTTTTTCCTTGTCTTTCTCATTTGGATAAGGAGACTCACACGGACTCTCACTTTTGTGTTTTGAAACCCCCACTAAAATTATAAAAGAGAATCATGAAAGCCTTTTCCAATTCAGTTTGATGACTGCTTGGGAAGTATTAATAAGTCTACCTACTTGTTCCATTTTCCTCTTTCCGCCTCTTGGTTAAGTCCGGTGGCACTTCTCGGTCATTGTTTGAGTGATCCTAGAACCAAGAATTGTGAACTACATTGATCAAGAGTTTTTGTTTTAAAGTATTACTTTTATACAAGAAGAGAATAGCTAGTAACTAGCATTGGAGAATATCTGTGGTGCTTTCACATACTTGGTAAAATGACATGAAAGACAAGCAGAGCTGGTAGAGATTATTAGGCTGAAGATCCTTATTACTGACTATGGTGAAAACACCAGTTAAAACACTAAATAATAGACTGTCATGCAACAAACTAGTACTTTAAAAAAGGCAACAAACACACTACTGTACATGATAATGAGCACCGTACATGATAATGAGCTTTCCAAACTAATTTTTTAAAAATTACAAACCCTTTTCCGGTCTTTCCTGTCCTTTTCATCTTTTTTTTCTCTTTCTCTGGATCTTTCCCTCGACTTGTCCAAATCTTTCTTGTCCATTTCTCTCTCCTTACTCTTGGACAGTGGTGGAGGAGTATGATTAATGTAGAGCTGTTAAATTAAGGCAATATTACTAAAGATTATTAGTTTTCCAGTATTGGCATCATTTGCTTGATTGTTTATTTAATGAAAGACATTTGGTAGTAGACCCAAAGTCAAAACTGGTCAGCTGTCTGGATTATGAGAGGTAAAATAAAAGAGCATGGCACAAATTATGCAAAGAATTCAATTCTTGATCTTATAAAAATTATCATTTTTTTAACTCAACCAGTTCATTCCTGCCTCAACTGAGATTTTTATTAGTAAATTCACAAGCTACAGTTCCTTATATAGCTCTATTGTGAAGACCCATAACCACCATTATTACAAGAGTCCATATGTGAAAAATAGTGACTGGACTTTCTCTACTGCAAATAAACAAAAAAATACAAACCTCTACACAATCATGGAAATTTAAAATAGTTTTACCATCCACTGATAAGCAATCAATGACAGTGAGCAAAAGTATAAAATAAAACCTAGCCTTGACTTTACTAATAAGTCTTTTCTGCCTCAGTGTATACCATGCATAGATTATCCTAAATTACTGTTATAGTGAAGGCTGCATATTCACTACTTCTGAAAGCGCTCCGATTCCTTTCAGATAATCACAACTGATTGTAAAATTTGTCTTACTGGTTCTAAATAGCTCAGAAAGCCATATTGTCAGTTGAGGTTGATAAAACAACTCAGACTGAAAAATGATAAACCAATATTCTCTTTTACCTATTCTTTCTCCAATGAAAGGCCCATAGACAATAAAACAGCCAAAGATCAAGGATATGCTAATTCTAAATAATTAAGAGGTAACCTTACTTATGCAAGTTGTAAATATGGAAATCCATTCTAAAACAAAATATTAAGGAAATAATAAGACACCTAACCTTACGGCATTTATAACTGTGCTACAAGCTTATGTTTAACTTAAGACATTAAAAATGTTAGGCAGCAGAATACTGAATATAACTCATTACATAACTACACAATTCTAGATATAACTTGGGAATGAAAAGAACAGTGAGTCAAAAGTCAAATATTTTTACACAAAGAAATCCTTTGGTATTCAAAGGAATACATGAAAAAAGACAGCCATCAGTTTGAGAATTAAATTAACACTTGTTTTTTTAACACCACCAAATATTTTCAATTCAGTTTGCTCAGAAATACTGCCATAGCAATGCATAAGTAGATTCTTTAAAATTTCAATGTTTAAAAGTTGATGACCAACTGAAATAGACAAAATGTTTATTAATAACAAAGAGCAAGAGAATGAGAAACAATCATAAAGTGCTTGTCCAAAAGGTACTCTTGCTGGGTATATGCCCTAAATGACACTTTAATATTTTCTAATTGTGAGGTTTATTCACATCTTAAGTCAATACTATTTATGAAACTGACAAGACAAAGCAAGTAATATGTTATTACAATACTCAAAGAAGACTTATCTTAGGGAAGTATTGCTTAATTCTTCCAGTAAAAAAATTTTTTTGTTTGTGATTACAAATAAGCACGTGCACACACATACACACACACACACACACACACACACACACACACCCCTCCACAAGAATGAAGTTTTTAAGTGTACCTAACTTGAATTCTGTATTGCAGGGAATTGGGAATCCTAGAAATTCTTAGTTTAGAAATGTACCAATTCTATTTCTTCTTTCTACCCTTCTAAGAATAGTTCTGATCACAATACTCTTTTCCACAAAAACATACAGTCTCTCATTGCGTATGGAATAAAGTGCATATTCCTTAGCTTGGGTATTCCAAGCTCTTCACAACCCTTGCACAATTCTACCCTACTATGGAGTGACCCAATGTACTCTAGGCTGCGGCTACCGCTGCTCCCTAACACCCTGTGCTTCCCAGCAGTTCTCTTCACCAGAACGGTTGCTCATTTTTATCTTAATCTCTTAAACTCCTACTTTGCTTTCAAAGACAGATCGAAAGCCATCAGCACTTCAACATTCCCTCAACTCCACAAATCACTGTCCAGTGAACTCTTATTTTATATTAACCTTTTTTTGTGGCAGGAATTCCCAATTAATTTCATGTCATTTATTTTTGTCCATAACATAGTTTACAGGATGGTAGGGGAGCTAATGTGCTTTTTCTACTTTTACACACTTCCTAGTGTCTTGTACACATAGTGAGTACTCAATACATGTTTGATGAATAAAATTAATGATTTGTTAAACTGATCTGCATGTAGCATTGTTGGATTTGGGTTATTTTTAATTTACTTTTATTCCTGATACTACTGGATCCTGTTTTTTACTGGCTTTTATCCTTGACATTGAGATCATTAGATCCAAAAAAACAATTTGACTGATCTTCAAAATCTGTTTAAGAGACCACTGCCACACTGACCCTTTTAAGGATACAATATATAAAGATGGCCTCACGTGTAGGTTCAGGTTTGGTTGGTTGTAAATCCTTGTTTTAAGATGATGAACAGAATTAAAAGCTGAATTTTATTGAGGTGGCTATTGCTGCCCTCTGAAACTACAGAGAAGCTTGGTTTAAAGGAGCATGCTTTTGGGCTTCCCTGGTGGCGCAGTGGTTGGGAGTCCGCCTGCCAATGCAGGGGTGATGGGTTCGTGCCCCAGTCCGGGAAGATCCCACATGCCGCAGAGTGGCTAGGCCCGTGAGCCATGGCCGCTGAGCCTGCGCGTCCAGAGCCTGTGCTCCGCAACGGGAGAGGCCACAACAGTGAGAGGCCCGCGTACCGCAAAAAAAAAAAAAAAAGGAGCAAGGTGAACTGACAGAAAAGATTTGGATACTAAACTAGAATCCCACTTGAAAAGCCAAGTCCATGTGTATTACAAAGTGAAAATAGTAACTAGTTTAGTAAAAAGGAGGATCCTAGGGGCAAAGTATAACTAAAAGGTCAAACTAGAGCAGGGAAACATTTTTATATGTATGATGACAAAGTAACCTGAAAAAATAGACACATACCTTTCAAATCCTCTAAAAAGTAAAAGCTACCACAGAAAGTTTAAATTATAGGTCATTAATTTTAGAGAGCACTCAAAGTCCAGTGAAATTTTTTTTCTAAGACATTCATATGCTATTAAACTTTCTTAGACACACAAAAATCAACATCAACTACTATGCAGATCAGTAAACTCTGGATGCTTTACCAAGTCCAAAGGCATAAGAGTTCATTTCAAATATTTACTGAATACCTAATCATATTGCCAGGTACCATACTAAGCTCTAAGGATCTGAAAAGTGGTATGAGTTGCAATTTTTACAAGGGTATTCATATGCCATTTTCAAATTTTTCTGGTTGAATGTGGAATAAATCTATTGAATTTTAAATGCCCACAAAATCACCATCCTTTTTTTTTTAAGCAGGGCGGGGGGATCACTATAATTTAAAAAATAAGACAAACACACGAAAGAAGTTAAGAACCCTTTCAACTACTATTGAAATGGGTGCTAAGAATCAAGGAACCATATTTTTTTTTGGAATTTTTGTTTTCATTGTGATAAGAACACTTGAGGACCCTTAATTTTAGTCCAAGTTCTGGTACCAACAAGTTATATGCCACTGGGAAAAGATCAAGAACTTTAGTCTCTTATTTGTTAAAAAAGACACTGCCACCTGCCCTACCTACCTCACAGCACTGTAATGAGTATGAGATGAGATAACATATGTTTATCTCATATGTTTTATTTTCAAAAGGCTTTCACAAATGTAAGGAACCATAATTTTCATCATTGCTTAGAAAATCCAGTTAACTATAACAGCAGGTTTTCAACTGCTTCAAAATACGTTTCAGGAAATAAATATTCACAAGGTAACATTGTTAACCCATGAATTTAAAATAGTCCACACAAGCCACTGATGGTTAAGACTGACATACATACACAATCCCACTCTGGTTATGAAAACCTACTATACTGGAATACATATTCAATTTAGCAAATAAAAAGTTTTACTTTAAAAGAAAGCATTCACAGTTCAACTGATTCTCTTTTGATTAATACAGTATATTCTAAAAACAATGCTATAATTTTAGGACACAGGCACATCAGCTAATCTGAACTGTTAAAAATTAGTGTTTACTTGCCCAATAGCCACAGACATTTCATTATAAAGCTAATAGTTCTAAAAGCACTTAGTACTGTCAACTGGCTTTGTTTCAAAATATCATTTTTTACTGGTCCACCAGTAAGGAATCATACTTAGCAGATATAAGAGGAGGCAAAGTAGAAAATCAAAGTGAAACAGGGTACAAATTTTATAATAATAAAGACAAAATAACATGAACATTGGACAATTCAACTATAACCATGAAATGAATGAACTCTGTAATAAGATACACAAACTGCACATGATTTTTAGTAGCAGAATCCTCAAGAAAGTAGAGTAATAGGCAAGAATTAATACTGACATGTAAACACAACCATCAAGTTGAGTATTCCCCTCCAGGAGAATGATTAGTTTACATTAACCATATTTCTTGATAATATGCTACAACTACCAAAAAGGTAGTTTATATCAGCAGAGGTGATATAAAGATTTTTATGGGTTAAGATGGGCTCAGTTTTTAGAACAGTTATGTGAATGCATCAGATATATTTTTTGGCCTTTTGGGTTATCTAAAAAAGTTAGAAAACAGCCTGACAGATTTGTTTTGAGAAATTAAATAAGCCTACTCCTCAAAAGAAACCAACAACTCCTTCCTCAAATCTTAAACTTACTTTCAGATTTTGAAGCATAAAAGGATAATGCATAACAGCAAGGAGAGATTATAGAAAGGTTGCCACATTACACACATTTTATAACAATTTCATTAAAAGGGACCATTGTCATCCATTGTTTCAGTTTGTGATAGGTATTTTTAAAGGTTATTCCACTAACTTACTGAATTTACTAGGGTGAGGGTACCTACTAAATAAATGAAGTAAAGAATTTTTCTTTGTTTTACTTAGGCATGATGATTTTAAAAGACTCAAACCTTTGCTGAAGACTCCTTGAGTTCGATGAGACTGTCCTGTAGAAAATGAATGGAGATGACAGGTGAGCTGGCATAGTTCTCAGAACCCAGAGGAACTTTGGGAAGTATGGCTGTAACCTGGAAATAAACCAGCTACTTCTTGTGAGGATAAATCTCGTGATGTCATTGTTATATGAATATCAACAGTAAAAAACAAAAGCAAAACTATGTAATGGAATTGTAATGTTTAAAAAAAAACTAAATTATATGTACTCGTTGTAATAAACAAAAATCTTTCTCTGCTCAGAATTTTAAAATAAATGTCAATGCCACATTTTTCATAACACTGTATTTAAACTACAGATAATGGTAAGAGGCTTAAGAAAGCAAAACATTTTTTCTCCACAAGAAGTTTAAAATAGTGGAGATCACTGTGGAAGAACAATATTGCCTTATATTTTCAGTTTTTCTTTAATAGGGAGGTTTCAAATTTTCCTTTACTTGTGACTCTACCATAAATATATACACATTTTATCCTAGCCAGAAAACTCAGTGGCATTACATTAACAAGAAAACAAAATGTATTTATAAAAGAGTAATCACTTTTTTTTTGCAAAGTGCCTCTAACAGTGAATCTCATACCTCCCACAAAAAAAAGCACTTAAAAAAAGAAAGAAAATGAAATCAATTATGGTATTCAACCACAGTGCTCTTGATGAAGAATTAGTTAACTTACAGGTTTAAAAGTTCAACGTACTGCAAATTCAAAGATTCCATGAAATTAGATGAGTTTAGAATTAAAATTAAATATGGAGCAAGGAATGGCTACCCTGAGTCTTCAAGAAGGCTACACCCACGATTTTGTGCTGCAGTTGAATGCCTGGGGTTTCTCTTTGCTGGGTGGTAGAATTGGATGCCACATCTGCTTTTATCGTAACGCAAGGTTCAACTTGTTGGGAACCCAATGGGTATAAACAAACCTCCAAGGGAAGATACAACAGAAGCTGCATGCTCACTGAATATACACAACTACAGGAGAACTGATCACCAAGGAGACTTTAAAATGGAACTCCTTTCAAGACTCCTTCTTAGAAGGCACACATCGGTATGATGCTCATCAAGAAGCTTGATGAATTCAGAGGTATCTTGTTTATCCTGTATCATCCAGGAAGTCTTCAGTGCTATATATTCTTCAATATTTATGCCGAAAAATAGGCTTCATTCTGCTGAAAAGATTCATTTGCTTGTAGCTACCATTGCACTCCAAAAAAGACTGCGTAAAGCAGTGAGGCACTTCTGGGTAAAATTTCTCTTGCACTTTGAAACACTACAAAATTAGTGCTAGGTCCTTGAAGTTTTAATATTTTTATAAGAAAAATACTCAATAGGAAAAAAATATCAGTCCACCAATATGTAAAAAATTCATTTTCTAATGCAACATAAAACCTCCAGTGGCTCCAGTGAATACTTGGCACAAGACTTGAAGGAAGTCAGGACACGTATTCCAAACAGGTGAGCCTAACATGGACGCTGCCTTCCTCAGGCTATACTAACCTTTACTGTTGCGGAATGTGATGGAGAAGGGTAGGTATCAATTTTGCGACGTTTTTGTTCTGTTGGGATGAAAAGAAATAGTCACAATAAGGTATGTTTCCACTTTTTTCCACACACTTAAAAAAAATCACCAACTTCTAAGGTTATCAAGTATTAGTTCCCCCTACTAAAGTCCCTAGATAACTTGCCATAATAACAAGACAAGAACCAACTTTATATTACAACAACCAAGGGTAAACAAATATAAATCAAACTTGCCCCTTTCAGGCTCTGCAATATCTGAACGGGGAACAGGTGACTTCAAGGACCCAGAAACTGGTGTTTTCTCTCCTTTAACATTTTCCTTTAATTTCATTTCCTTTGCTATATCTCTTTCTCTGGATGGCTCCTTCTCTCTTTCCTTTTCTTGAGTCGACTTTGATTCTACATTGGGGACAGTGGTCTTGAATTTCTCATCTTTAACTTTTTCTTCCTTCTTGAATTTTTCTTTCTCTTTGTCAGACTTAGGTGTTCTTTCCTTCGTCTCTCTTGCTTTTTCATCTTTATTTGGCCGTTCTTCCTTCGGTTTTTCTTTACCATCTTTACCACCAAGTACTCGGGCCTCTGGAGTAGTAGCTGGAGTCTTTTCTTTTTTCTCTTTTTCTTTCTCTTTCC